GCTTTAACTATATTTTCCAAAGGAATTCCCATGAGTATTTAAACACCAGACATTTGTTAAATACTTGTGTGCATGCAGCATATGACTGAATGTCTGAATCGAACTAAAGTAAAGAAAATAATAATACTTCAGATTCTATACCTCAAGGTACATACCTTTTGCAATTAAAACACTGATTAACATAATATCATGCAAAGAAATCATACATGATCTTTCATCTTTATATAAATATCCAGTTGTAAGAATGAGTATCAATAAAGATTCGAATGTTTTGAAAATTACACAAATTTTCACTAAGTGAGTTGTTCTCGCGTGTACCACGAACACGAAATAAACACGCAACTAGCCCAGTCCTCTCACGGTCACCTACCTCTCGTCCATCCCCTTTAACCATAACCGTAATCTAAATACATATGAAAACGAAGAAATAGCATTTATTCGGGCAGAGAAGCAGCGAGCCATGCATGCAATCGCGCCATATTTCACGAAATATCGAAGGGCACAATATCGAAGATAAAATACACTGCACTGTTTCAAAACTTCATGAAACTTGGTTGAAATCTTCTTTAGCCATTTATGATTATGCAAAAGTACAACAACTGGATGATATTTGCGAGACTCGACGATAAAAAGCAAACAAGATGGCAAAATATGGCTGAAATCATGTTTTCGTGGGGGGTAAGTGAACTAAAATGATTCAGATTTAAAGAAAACAATGACAATCCTTATGAAATCCACAATAATTATATTAAATTAAGCATAGTTTTTCATCCCATGATAATTTTTTTAGGAAATAAGAAAATTTAATTTCTGCCAGGCATATTTGTTATTTTATGCATAATTAGCAATTTACCTGGGATGGTGCATGGTCATTTTCTTGTAAAATAGTTTACTTAGACAAATTTTTCCTTCCAATGATCACCCCTAAAAGCAACCCTTCTAAACACTATAAGCACTTCAGAAAGGCTATCGCTCTTCCTTTTCGGAAGTTAGAGCTATGTCGACACTGCCGTTTCAGGACGGGGTCATTTTCAGGACTTTCGCCCCGGATTCTGGTTTTGACACATATGCCATGTTGACCGCACATATGCCGATTGAGATTACGTTTACGTTTTGGATGACTTGGTGGGGATTGAAATTGCCAACAAATTGGCATAGTTGAACTCAACCACTGAGTTGAACTACCAGGCGATGGAAAAAGCTCACGTTACTAAAGGCTCGTTTTCACTCATTGCAAAAGCTAACTCACAAGCTCGTGGGGGGAGGTCTATAGCTCCCTCAGTCCTCCCTGGGAAACAGGACGGACTATAGCCCCCTCCCATTCCCGCTACCTCTGCTTGCTGTTTTCTGCCTGACTTTTCTTGTTTAATCAATTGTTGAGCTGCCTTATTGTTTTCTTTACTAAGCAGGATATGACTATGAGCCAATATTCTGTTGGTAGAGAGCCATTCAGATTGCAGAATAGTTTGTATCCGGTAGTTGCCTGCATAATAACATAGCTATAGTCTTGTTTTGGGGTTGATTTCATAAAACTTGTTCGAAAATGTTTCATCCCCCCCCCCCTCCCCCGACACTTGGAAATTGCACTTCTTGTTCACTGCATAAACAAAATGTGCATTTTGAATTTGAGATAACCAATTGGTTGGTTGTTTTAACCATTGTTTTTACAGTGAATCACACAGTTTATTTGATAATATAAAAGACGTTTACACAATTAGATCCTCAGCAACAAAATTAGTAAAGCCGATATCTCAGTCCCGAAAACGGGTCACTCGGCTAAGTACATTCCGGAAGGATGTATACTTGTCGCCCATATTTGCAAGTTAAATTGAAGAACACTTCACTTGTACGTTTGATAGACGGAGATAGGAAAACGTAATTTTGACCGGCGATCTTTCAATTGTATCGTATTTGGTCATTTTTGTTCGCAATACCAATGATAAAATAGGTATCATTTAAAAACTTTTAATTGCAAGCTGTTTCAAAACACCTCATGTTTATTGATCCAGACACACCACAGGCGGCCCAATCTCGCAAGGGTCAGTATAGACTTATAGTATAAATGTATATTATATTATATTATATTATATTAATGTATATTATAGTAAAAATATGTCGTAAAATATAAATTTTAAAATGAAATTGACTTGCCTATTTGATAGTGTGTGTTCTCCTTTTATTCCTCCTTTGTTGGACTAATATTTTCCGAGACTTTGTACTCGATGTTACTGGTATACATGAAACATGATAAAGGCTAACTATTCCCGATCGTCGATACGACGGCACGGCACTTCGAATCGAAAATTTTCACACTCAAATCGCTTTATTCTCCAAAACAATTCGCCAGCATGTACAACCAATGCCGTTCTTCGAAAATACGGAGATACTTCGGAGAGATGTACAAGTTTTGGACCATATTTTAACAATGGAAATCAAAACCCATTTTATATTGAACTTGCCCAGGCCGAAAATTACTACGGCGAACGTCTGCGCAACCAGGCCTCCTTACCGTTGAGATTTACAGGGGGGAAGCAGATATTTCCGGCAACAGCCAGCCAATCGCAACCGTGATAGCGACTGTTTACATTATTTGAAATTTGATATTCAAAATAAAAACTCCTTCGATCGGATACTGTATAAAACTCGAGATGTTGTCGAAGAAAAGAAAATTAAACGACGGAGATTGAAGAAATTTAAGGAAGAAGTAATATACAGCGGCTCTTTGTTGGAAAGCATGGTAGAATATGATACTTTAATTCGAAATATGATCGTTAATATATTAGAGGCATCCTCCCCCCTGTAAATCCAACGGTAAAGGAGGCCTGGTTGCGCAGACGTTCGCCGTAGTAATTTTCGGCCTGGGCAAGTTCAATATAAAATGGGTTTTGATTTCCATTGTTAAAATATGGTCCAAAACTTGTACATCTCTCCGAAGTATCTCCGTATTTTCGAAGAACGACATCTGTTGTACATGCTGGCGAATTTTTTTGGAGAATAAAGCGATTTGAGTGCGAGAATTTTCGATTCGAAGTGCCGTGCCGTCGGATCGACGATCGGAAATCGTTTGCCTTTATCATGTTTCATGTATACTAGTAACATCGAGTACAAAGTCTCGGAAAATATTAGTCCAACAAAGGAGGAATAAAAGGAGAACACACACTATCAAATAGGCAAGTCAATTTCATTTTAAAATTTATATTTTACGACATATTTTTACTATAATATACATTAATATAATAAAATATACATTTATACTATAAGTCTATACTGACCCTTGCGAGATTGGGCCGCTGTGGACACACTGAAGTCAATAATTAATACGCCAAAGTTGGATTACCTTTTTGAAAGACCTGCCGTAAAAAATATTCTACGTCGCTGCAATGGGGTTTAACAACCAACAACTTGCATGTCTGTGCAAAACCTGCTGTAGTTTTTCCGGTGGTAAAGTGTTAATTAACTTAGTTGAATAACTTAGCAATTCATTATCTGAATGAGTGAACTTAGCACTTTGTTGTATTCAAGCCGATTAATTTACTTTGCTGTTGTTATTGAAATCGTGCACGGACTTGTTTCGTATTTATATACACTCCGTTACAAATTGTCCCATTAGGACCGATATCTTGTAGTAAAGTGACAAATATGATACCGAGGATGTGCTACATGATACTATATGCCATGCACATAAACACACACCTTAATACGCAAGACTTTGAACATTTATGCATGCAACGATTAGCCCGGACTGGCCTGAAGGGAGTGGTAGTTGAAAGATGCTTACAAATTATGAAAAACGTCTTTAGAGATAAAAAATAATTATTCCTTTGCTTTGTCTAACATACTCTATTTAAAACACCTGCATGTTACTTGCAAAAAAGCTTATTTACTGCCGGAACTCGCTTTTCAACTGACTAATTCAAGGCTTGAACCAATTCAAAGTATTTGTCCACATCACGCTTAGAACTTCCACCTAACAGATTTTCGAATCAATCCGAAACCTTTCAGTTAACAGTCAAAATCCAATTTATAAGAGAGGAACAAACGAATTAAATAAGTTCGGAAATGTCATCAATCCCGCCCCACGCACTACGGTGGATGAATTCCTGCGTTAGAACATTTTTGTGCATATAACATACCTGCGAGTTAAACACTCTTTTAGCGTTTTGACGATTCGCCCTTTCTCCCAACAGTCTGTTGTTTGATCCTCTGGGCACATGCAAATAGATATCTGCAATAGCATATTGATGAAATACCACAAGAATCACCAATAAAAGATATATCGCTGATGGCCAACGCGAACTCAATCCCATTTCTGCTTCTTTCCGAAATGTTGGAGTTTGTGCTTCTCTGCTAGATCTTCACCCCACCACGGTTGTACTGCAGTATTGACGTTAGAAATCTGGCAGTGATTCTTGTATTATTCAATATAACATTATATTCCTAATAAGGCCTTTCACCGCCTCCAGACTTCCCCCAAGCTGTGACGAAATTGCTTTGGGAATAACCGTAGTAATATCTAATTTCCTTTCGATTTAAACCGCAATACCTAAGTGGGTGTAGCGTTAATTAATTTATAGGGCTGGGCACGTCCATATTCAACTAGTTGGATCGCAAAACGTCAAATGGGCGTTTTTATCTAAACCAACCTACCCACACACTCAGACTTGAAAACATTAAGTGCGCATACTGTATCGCAAGATTTTTAAAATATTCAAATTGTCACTGTAAAAACTTCACAACGTAATAGTTTTTGACCTCCTCATGAATTTGACGTTTTGTGTGACAATTTGAATATGTCCGTGGCGTCTTGACTTACGCAAAAGGCAAAAGCCGGACCAACAATCCATTGCAAATAAAACAAATTCCAAAAACATGCATAATTCTTGATATTCAAGATAAAAACAAAAAATGAGGCATATAGTATAGGTGGTATATTTTGTCTTTATTTCACTGTGTCTTTGAAATAAGGCGCTCTCGGCGTTAAGTCGCTGGAAAATGCAGGAGAAATTGTAGCTACTATAAAAGTAGGAATATAGCATTGGTTTGATGGCCATATAGCTAGAGTTATATACTAGTAAATGACCGACAAAAATAATAACAAATGTCAATCACTTCTATTTTAGTAGGCCTAGTTGTTCTAAAAATGATATATTCATGAAATAATCAGTATTTTTCCGTGATGAAATGTTATAGTATTTTCATATAATGCTTCACCTGTTATAAGCAACGGATTTTCACTTTTAGACACCAAGTATATACAAGTATACAGGCAGGAGCGCATATTAGGGGGGGGGGGGGTAAACCCCTAACACTCGAAAATCACAAAAATTAACGCTGTATCAGAAGTTGGTCCCGAATTTCTGCTACGAGAGTTGTTTAATCCACAAGCCACAAACGTCTGGTGTAGACAGGAAAATGTTTTCATCCAAATTCTTCAACTCGGTGCTGGAAAGTGCAGGAAATGGCATTTCTGAGCTTAATAAATGCCCCCGAATATATTTTGTTCAGTCTGTAGCTTTAATCCGAAGTTTAAATTCTTACACTGGTTGAATATAACTATAACATAATTTATCATGTCAATTCATTGATATTTGACTGATCAAAATAATTAATCATTTATCTTAATCTAGAATCATTTGATAAGTCGGCGACACCAATAATTGCAACGCCTTTTATATAAGATGGAACAATATATTCGTTGACATATTTGATTGATTAAAATGACTAATGGCAACACCAATTTTGCAACTCGTCCAAACTGTTGAAATGAGGTTAACTTAAACGTATTTCAATGCTTTTAAGACATTTTAAAATTAAGTAGACATTTTAAAAGTACGTAAGTCCCTATATCTGTCGTCTCTAAAATTGACAATTTGTTGTCCTTACCAGAAAGATTCCTTTCTATGTGAAAATTGGTACAACCGAGGCAAGGCCGGAATAAGGGGAGGAATAACCATATATGTTGCTTTTCTCACGTTTCAATTCACTGCATGCTTGGCTTCTAGCTGCCTCATTTTAAAAATCATTTTCTGAAAGTTTTAAAATATATTTAATTAGCTTACAATTTCCATAACGTTGTCTAATTGCAGGGGGTCTATTGTAGAAGCCCCCCCCCCCCCTCCCATAGTAGACCCGCAACTATATGGAAATTAGGAGGGAGGTCGTTTCGCAAACCGTCATATTTTTCTCTTCTTCGCCGTTAACCACCAGCTGATTTTCTTCATGAAAACCCAAACCGTCATCTTTCGTATACGACGTGAGGACAAAAGGGGCAGATTTTCGTTGAGATGTATTAAATATATAGTATATTTATAATATATAGCACTTGTAAATTCTGAACACTGATTGCATGGCTAAGAGCCGTGTTGATATATTAAACTCAATGTCAACACGGAAAATTTATTTCTTTCTATTTCTTTGTGCTATATTATAAAAAAAATATGTTGTGTTATTGTGCACCCCGTAATATGATAAGTTGAAAATGTTCTCGAGTGTGTATTTCGTAATTATTATATATATATATATAATATATATATATATATATATATATATATATATATATATATATATATATATATATATATATATATATATATATATATATATATATATATATATATATATATATATATATATATATATATATATATATAGTATTGAAGCTTCTGCAGTTGAAGTGTAAAATGTGAACGAATTTTCCTGAATAGGAACTTAAATCATTGAACTGTTACCTTCAATGTATTCATGTGCGATTTACATGTTTTGGGTGCCCCCCAAGTTGCACACCGGCCAAGTAGAAATATAGTAAAAAAAAGTATCTCTGTCCTCTGAAGAATTTCAATATTGCATGTATATTGCAAGCTTGAGGGGGAGTATACACACAGACGGCCAGAGGGCAAATATTTTGCCACCCTTTTACTGAACAAAGAAAATTAAAAACACAATACTTCAGCCGTTTATTATATATATATATATATATATAGGTACAGTACCGGAGGAAACCTTAACTAAACCAATTTTATAAACCAATTAAGAGCGTTTGCATGCATGCTTGCTGCATAACTTTCTGTATACAATAATATATACTTTGAATGATTTCATCATTAATTTTTTTAACCCTTGTCTTTGACGAGACCGTCACCTTTGAAACTAATATTTACTCACCTGTAATACCATAGATTTATTTCATTTACATATCAAATGAAACTAAAATATTTCGAAACGAAAAAAGAAAAGCTAGAAAAGTTGTATAGTACTTATTTTAGAATTTTGCATTTCTTTCTGCCTAAAATCTAAAGTGAATACATGCAGACTTAAATTTCGTTGCGATGATTATACAGTAAGCTCTCGAACCTGTTTTCATGGACATGCCCATGAACAAATATCACCGAAGACAAGACGGCTTTGTAAACATCAGACAATAACGCCGAAGCTAAATATATAATTTAAAGTGCCGAACTATCGAAATATTTCTATTTGCCGTAATGTGGAGATAAAAAGATAGTCGCTATCACGACGCGCATGCATGCAGTTTGTGTTTTGTGTTTTTGCTTTTTAATATTTCGCCGTTATCTTGATCTCATACCTTTGGCTTTGTGATAAACTACAATAAGATCATTGACCTTGTAAGTTGGCATGGTAAAAATAGATATAATTGTTTTGTTATCAGTTTTTGTTACGACACCTTTATAAAGTCTTTGCCTCGGCTTTGGCGAAGCTTTCGATGCGAATCCGGTCTTCATTGGTAATGGTGGTGCTATTAATAATAATAAATTAATACACTAATTGAAAGTTGTGAAGATCCATGCAGGCTTACGGAGCTAGCGGTAATACAACATAACCGTGATATTTCCAAAAATGTCCTGCAAACAATTATATTTTCCAGCATGTATGCAATCAAACAAGCGAAATTGACTATGTTCACCTATGTTTAACATGACTATATGTACGCATGCAGTGCACCTATGTTTAACATGACCAAACATTGTCGATTTTGATGAACGAAGATATATGGCTGTCTTTAATTCACAATATTGTATAATATAGTGCTGAAATAAATTTTGTCTCATTTAACATTTTTCCGCACTGCTTATATATTAAGTTAACCGAAAATATTGTTTTCAGCCTCGCATCAGCTTTACAATGTTGTACAGCATAGACAGTGACGTAGCCGGGTAATTTCTAGTTAACATATAATAGTTTGAAACTACCAGAGAAAACCTGACCAGCTAGAAATGTCTAAATTGTTTTTAATAAAGAATGGCATTGAATATTTTTTCGATTGCCTTTACCGTTCCGAAGTTATTGCGGTTTTATTACGAAAATCACCCGTACGCTCTTGTCACTGAGTTTTCAGATTTGAATCAAATGGCTTGTCTGTTCGTAAGTAAATGCATAAAATAATACAATGAACTTTTAGGGGGAAATGTTTAAATTCTGGAGTTGGTAAAGACATTCTGGAGTTGGTATAAAGACAGCATTTTGGGGTCTATTTTAATGTGTTTTGGTAATTTTAAATACCACTGACTGATTTGATACATAAGAACTCTTATTTGACTACTTAATTAACTATAGAAAATACATGCATGCAGAAACCCTCGTCTTACTGAAAAAACCATTATGTTTTCCGAACATATATGAAGTATTGAAAGTAGTTTTCATGGTACACAGCAAAGAATGCCTATCCTGTACAGTACCAACGTTGATGAAAACAGGCCTGAACAATATTTTACTGCCCATATTGTTCGTGGTTGTTAACAATATTGTTCATGCAGCATTGTTCGTTCTGTTCGCCGAAGCCAACAAAAAGCAGTCGAATCTTTATGTTCTGCACAATTGTCCGGTACAAAATTCAAGTATAGTTATATAGTAAGAGAAATCATGCAAAAAATGAATTGAACAGCTAAAAATTCCTGCTAGGCTATATATATAGGAGTCCAGATCTCAATCCATGCAATCAATGGAGAATCTATTTTATATATATAGTGTCAAAATCAAATTGCCATTAGATGAGAAAATGAGAACACTATAATGCCATCGTCAAAAATGTTGGCAAACTGATTGGTGTTAATGTGAGCGATTCAGATATATCAATAAGCCATCGCCTTCCCAAATCAAGGGCTTCCACTATAGACATGGTATTCAATATGATCCAGCTATTATTGTCAAATTTGTCACAAGAGATGTGAGAGATTCCTACTATATAAAGCAAGAAGTAATCTCCGCAACAAAACCACGAATGATCTCGGTATAATAGGTTCCTCTGGGCAGAAAATATTTATCGCAGAAAGCCTTACTCAGAAGAATAAAGCATTATTTAATCAATGCCTTCGAGCTAAAAGAGATTTGAAATATAAATTCTTATGGACTTCATCTGGCAAAATATTCTGACGTCGTGATGCTGATAGTTATGTTGTAGCAGTTCGTGATGAGAGTGACATTGATAAATTATATGATCATGGTGACAGCTAAGTT